CTAAGTGAGGTGTAGGTTGAAAGGGAGAAAATATGAAAGCTAGGCAACCACAGAAATTTTTTTTGAGTAAAAGGCTCATCGAACCAGCTGTGGCAGTTGAACAAATTGTAGTTCAAAAGGCTTATGTAAACATAACAGAGGCACAGAGTTTCAAAGATGGAAAGGCCCTACCCTGTTCAATGGCCCCTCTTCCCTTTCTCCTCCGTGACCTTACACTGTAAGAACTTTTAGAGGACCCAACCCTGAAGCCTCTTAAGAGTTAATGGGTAGGACAAACCTTATAGAAATAGCCTAGAAGAGGACATTGGAAATGGTGGGTTGAAGAGTCCTGCCCTGAATCTTCCTTCTAGCTGTTAGCCATGTTTCCATATGCCTTTAGTGGTTACAGTCTGAGTAGTACTTACAGGCTTTGAAGTATCCCTTAAGGACTAAATGCCTACCTGCAGTTCCTAGGGTTGCAAAGCCTTCTGGTAACTCAGGAGTTAGCTCTGTTAGCTCTGCCCTACCTTGCTCCCTTGGTCTACAGAACCTAGCCACTAACTTCATAGGCGTTCACATGATAAACAATAGCTCTACCAACTGAGCTACAACCCCGGCCATGCTCTGTTTATGATGGAGAAGCCTTCATGCCTAATTACTCTCACAGATCTCAACCCTTAACTCGATGACCGTCGCAACCTTTGAATTTTACTTGGGTGAAAGCAAAGGCTACTGCCAGGATCTTGTTGCTGGTGCATGCAGCTGCCCCTCTCAGTGAGGTTTGCTTGGTCTGGCTAAGAGGCTCTTTTCCTTCCAGGGCTGGGCCAGCATCACTGTTTTACATCTCACTGGCTTCCTAGCACTCAGCTGGCTAGACCAGCACCTGAGGGAGGAAACGGGGACTGGCTGGTATGCTGTTTGCTGCCTTTTCTATTGATCCCATCAGCACAGTTGAGCAGTATGTCTCCTACCTTCTGTCTGCAGATGTCTCAGTTCATCGTCCAGTGCCTGAATCCTTACCGGAAACCTGACTGCAAGGTGGGCAGGATCACCACGACTGAAGATTTCAAGCACCTCGCTCGAAAGGTACTTCCTCTGTTTCTGGTCTCTTGGTGTTCTCAGCAAGATACATACCTTCAAAGGTACTCTCCAACAGAAAGGATGGTTTATGTGCCAAATGCTAGGGCTTGGGGCCTAGGACTTTGAGGCAAGGTTCAGAAGTGGGAAAGGAGGTATCTAAGAGACTTTGAAAGCTGGGTTTCTTCTCCCTGTGCCCCTGCACTTGCCCTAACCTACCCTTTTATTTAATCCCAAGCCTGTCCTCTCTGTCAAATTATTGTCCGTTCTGATGGTGTCTGTGGTCTCTCCTTCTGTGCCCTGGACAGCTGACACATGGAGTTATGAATAAGGAGCTGAAGTACTGTAAGAACCCTGAGGATCTGGAGTGCAATGAGAATGTGAAACACAAAACCAAGGAGTACATTAAGAAGTACATGCAGAAGTTTGGGGCTGTTTACAAACCTAAAGAGGACACTGAATTAGAGTGACCTCAGGGCCAGGGTGAGGAGTATGATCAGAAAGGATGAGTCCTGTGGCTTCCGCCCTACCCTATGGCCAGGGCTGTGCTACTGATGTGATGACCCATCATCCTGAGCAGTTCAAGCCGAAAAAGTGAGCTCTGTCTACACGACCCCTAGTTGTGAGCTGTTGGGGTGTAACAGATACAGGCCATCAGAGGCAGTAGCCTACAGAAGACCTTGGCCACACCAGACCCCATTCTCAAGTCTGGGTCTCCCCCTTGGCGGTGCTGTCAGCGCACAGACCCATGCGCACCCTCCCCCAAAGCCCTTTACCCTGACGATCTGTATTATATTTTAATGTATATGTGAATATATTGAAAATAATTTGTTTTTCCTGGTTTTTGTTGAGTTTTTGTTTGCTGTTAGCCTCTATGTGTTAGAATCATGGAAAGACTTTGTAAGGACAGTATAAATTCTCCTGCAAGGTTTAATTTGTTATCATGTAAATATTCCAAAGCAGGCTGCCTTGTGGTTTTGGCCAGCCTTGTGCTATGTTGATAAGATTGATTTACTGCTTAAGATCACTTTACTTTATCCAATTTTTACTGAACTTTTTATGTAAAAAATAAAATCAATTAAAGAACTTGGAATGTGTGTTCCCTAAAACTTAATCAAGTTTGTTTGTGTTGATATCACTGGAGGGAAAAAGGCTGTGGCTAGTGGTGTATGGAGTCCAAGATTAATCTTTGCTACTGCATTTAATTATGAGCTTGTTTCCTACAGGTCCTACTGTGTGTTGGGCAGATGTTTTCATGTGGCACTTTAGTCATTCCAGACCAGAGGAAGTATGTCCTGAGACCTCATTGCCACTAGCTTGTTTTGGTTAGTGGGCCAGTCAAGAGAAAAGCCAAATGTCATCTCCTTGATACCTCCTGGCCATAGAGTGTTAATGGATCTTTCTGCCTTCAGATTTGGTTTCTCCCAGCCTGCAGGGAAGTAGCAAAGGACAGCAGCAGAAGGAACATGGGTGCTGCCATATGGCGAGAGCGTGCGTGTACTTTAGATGCAGGCGCAGCAGTAGGTTCTCTTTTTGGTGAGTTTTATACACAGAGAAGAAGTTCATATCAGACTGGGGCCTGTCTCAGCAAAGGCTGGACCCATCTGTTCCTCAGGAAAATAGTTCTGCTCATTGCAGCATTGAAGAGAACAAGGCTAGGCAGAGGCCTATCAGAAATTAGAGCACCCATGGCCTGTGCTAAGCATTTCAAAGATTAGGGTATGTTCATTTAATCCTTACAACCCTTACAGAAATTGGCACTGTTGGTGAGACCGAGGCCAAGCAAGCTTCACTTAATCATTTACCATCCTGTATTAGAGGGCAGAAATTTTTTTTTTTTTTTAAGATTTTTTATACAGTACTTTGCCTGCATGTGTCCCTACATACCAGAAGAGAGCACTAGATCTCACTATTAGATGGCTGTGAGCCATCATGTAGTTGCCAGGAATTAAACTCAGGACCTCAGGAAGAGCACACAGTAGTCTTAACCTCTGAGCCATCTCTCCAGCCCAAGGGCAGAAATTCTTACTTCATGGTCATACATGCTGTGTAGCAAGTCTTCTGGGGGATTAGCTACAAGTGTGTAGATACTCAAGTACTTTAAATGAAAGGCCATAGTTCTTAACATCTTCACCTCTCTCCAGTCTCTCTGGATCTTCAAGTTCCTAATACCATGCCACTGTTGTACAAAGCTACTTTGATTGCCAGGACATGAATGTGAATCCTAGATACCACAGACCAATGATTTAAAGTCTTCTCTCAGTTATAACTTTAAAGCACATTGTTGTTAAGTGGACCATAATTCACTCAACCCTCAACATTTTCTTTTTAAGATTTATTTATTATGTGTACAGTATTCTACCTGCATGTACACCTGCAGGCCAGAAGAGGGCACCAGATCTCATAGATGGTTGTGAGCCACCGTATGTTTGCTGGGAATTGAACTCAGGACCTCTGGAAGAGCAGACAGTGCTCTTAATCTCTGGTCCACCTCTCCAGACCTGACCCTGAACATTTTCTACTTGTGTCTTCAACAATGAGTGTTCATGTTTTTCCAAGGAGATTGAGGCAGCCTCCTTGTGAGGTGGTAACTAGCTGTCAAGTTTTAGAAGACATTTTTTGAGATGTTTTACTTTGTTTTGTTGTAGCTCCCTCACATCCCCCGAATGTCTTCATCTTCTCCCATAGATCCCTCATGTTCAAATTAACAAATTGGGATAGAGTGTACCAGTCTGTTCATGGAAAGTTTTATCCTCATTGCTGACTCAGTCTTTGATGTCCCAGCAGCTAACTCTGCTGGAGTTTGATAATCCCAGAATGCTGGTCTGTGCCTTCTCTGTTTTTTTTTTTTTTTTTCATCTTTGGGGATTAGCCTGAGGGTCTTCTTAGGATGAAACTAACAGCCCTCCCCAACTTTTTTTTTTTTTTTTTTCAGTTGTTCTCACTCTATATCCTAGGCTGTCATCAAACCTGTGATGACCTGACCTCAGCCTCCTGAGCGCTGGGATGACAGATGTGAGCTACTATGCCTGAATGCCATTTATTTTAACAAAGACGGACTGTCAGGCAGCTCTGGTAAGCTTTTTCTAAGGAACAACAGTAGAAGCAGCTTATGGTAAGCCTCACACAAAGCGGTGTCCCAGGGGCATCTCAGTGCAGTTGAGGGGGGTAAGGATCTGCCTTGGGCTCCACTTCACCAAGTCTGGACCTCAGCTCTTAGTCTGTATGACTTAAAAAGCCCTCTAATCCATTGCACTGGTCCTTCCTAGAAGTCAAAATAACCCAGCTACCTGCACCCAGTCAGGATGGGTGTGTGCATGGAAGTACAGGTGGTTTGGCTCAGCTGCCCCGTCCTGAATAGCCTGCTTGCCCACTTGTGTTCAAATGACATGAGCAGCTGTGGAAGCCTGTTTGGAATTCCTTAGCCTGGGTGGCAGTCTGGGGTTTTTCGTTTTGTTTTTTATAGCTATGTAGATTGAACCTAGGAGCTTGTGTGCTACAGAAGTGTTCTACCACTGAGCTGTATGTCCAGCCCAGAGTCCCAGTGTTGAAATGGCCTTCTCTTACCTAAAGATAACCCGAGGTCTTCAACAACCAGCTCAGTACATTTACCTAGCCTCTCGCCTGTCACAGCACAGGTCACATGAAGGGTCCTGTGAGGCAGCATGGCAATCTTAGGGGCAGAGGACTTACTAAATGTGCCTAAGCTAAGCAAAGGAGATGCAGGAAACGTGGCTTCCTAATGTGACCCAAACACTGAAGGGCAGGAAGGTAAACTCCAGCCGGGGCCTCAGCCCATGTACAGGAGTGCCCTGCCATCCTAGCTGCTGCTTGCAGAGAGTGTTCTCATATCCTAGAGACCTCCCCAAGTCCTTATCTGGGCTCGCTTCACAGCTAGTCATCTGTCTTACAGGCCCAAGGAGCAAGCAGACTAGAACAAAAGTCCAAAGGTGCCTTTAATATGTGATTTTAAAAAAATAATAGAAAAACTGTCTGGAGCTAAACAGAGAGGCAGATTGAGGACTTGTGGGCAGGGCCATGTCCCACTCTCCCCCTCATCCCCCCATGTTCCCCTTCCTGTCTTAAGAGAGGAGGGTGAAGGAACATGAACTGGCTCGATCTTCTGTGCTCTGCCACAACACAGCAGGCTGAAGCCAGAAGTACTTAGAAGCCTGTGAAGGAGATACAAGGCAGTGAGAATGCTGAGTGCCAGTGCAGGGAGCACTGGGAGGTGTCACTCACACCACAGAGAAGCCCTCAGCTGGTGAGCTCAGAACCTGGACCACATCTTCTCGGCCTATCGCAGCCAGAGCATCCTCTAGCACTCTGAGGGTAGCTCTACTGCCTCCTTGGGCAGCCCAGTCCCTTAGCAGGGTATAGGCTGGCACCTGGCCACCAGCCATGGTTTCCACAGCCTCAGCTTGGTAGCCCAGGTGGCTTGCCAGCCCCTGCCAGCCCTTCGAAGGTTCACCCAACATCAAGAGCCGCTCGACTTCTTCCTGCTGCTGCTGAGGAATATGCAGGTAAAGTCTGCTGCCAAGGTCAGGATGCGCTCCTGGGATGGGAGAGGGAAGAGTGTTGGTGGGTGGTGGGGTAGCACTAGTTAAACACAAAGGACTATAGACTAAGAAAACATGCTCACCCTGGCTGGAAGCCTCCAGACCACAAGGAGAGTCCACGAAGACATTGCTGTCACCATGCCTCTGGTCCCTGTCGGGGTCCCCCAGCTCTACAGTCCGAGCTTTGGCCAGCTGTTGTCTTTGCTTATGTGAGCGCCAACTGTAGGGGGCAGAGGGTACTAAGACAAGGAGCTGCCTCGTTGTCCAGGCATGGAGGGGGTGCCACAGAACAGTACCCAGACCACCTACCATTTGAAGGCCACATAGGCAAGCAGGCCAAGGACCACAGTAGCTAAGAGAGCACAGTAGACAGGAATAATGTTGCTTGAGGACCCTGGAGGCTCAGGCGGAAACAGGGAGGAGGAGTTGGGGGCCAGGGCTCCCCCAACTCCTACCCACATTCCTTCCCTGTCCCTATCCTTCCCCTTCAGGGATGCATCTGTGAAGACAAAGAGAGTGGTGAAGACAGGGAGCCTTGGCAGCCTCACTCAGAGCAACATGGCAGAACTTTCAAAAGCAATAGTGTGCTCCATGTAGTCAGGGACTCAGCAGGCATCCAGAACAGGCTGGCCCTGGACTGGCAAGAGTGACTCAGCAGATAGACACATCCACCAAATATGACAACCTGAGTTTCATTCCTCCATGATCCACATGGTAGAAGAAAACTGACTTCCACAGCCTCTGAACCACACAGGCTTACTAAGTGGACACAGTGCTCATTCCATCACAGGACCAGAGTTCTCCCAGCACCACACTGGATGGATCACAACCACCTGTCTCCAGGGGGCTTGGCGGCCTCTTACAGCCTCTGTGGGCACCCTCACACACGTACATCACATGTACATATGTACACATGGATCAGATCATCTTAGGGTTTTTTTTTTTTATGTGCATTGTTTTGTCTGTATGTCTGTGTAAGGGTGTCAGATCCCCTGGAACTGGAGTTACAGAGAGTTGTGAGCTGCTATGTGGGTGCTGGGAATTGAACCTGGGTCCTCTAGAAGAGCTGCCAGTGCTCTTAACCGCTGAGCCATCTCTCCAGGCCCTAACCTTACTTTTTTAAGTTGACTGGCCCTTTGCTTGCCATTGTATGCAGTTACTCCCAGATGTGCCTTGCCATCTTCCAGAAGCACCTAGACTTCTTGGTCTTCTAAAAGGATGGCAGGATCTCCTCTGGAAGCCTTCCTTGATCTCTTTCCCCTCTCTCTGGTTGCACCAACCTGTTTACCATGGCACTGGACTGGTCTGCTCCCAGAGGGGACTGTGAGAGCACACTGATGGGTGTCATTCTCACAGGACCATAAAAATAAAACCTAACTGGAAGTAAATACTGGTGCTGTCTTCTTAGGTCCAGTGACCAGTCCTTGTGTCCAGTGTAGACAGGGTTCAAGGGACAGGGAATAAAGAGCCTGTGAATGGACTTGACCCATTCTACCTGCCGCCTAGGATCTGGGTCAAGGGACGCCTACCTGAATAGTCCGCACCTTTGCTGTGGCTGACGTTGTGGAGCATGGCTCTGCCAGGCACCGTTTGCTGGGCTGTTGCTTGGTGAAGGGGAGCTGTGCTGAGGCTGCTTTTCTGAGTCCAGAGGGAACTCTGCAGGGATATGAGGAAACCCTTAGACCTGCTGTCAGGAGTCTCTGCGGGCTAGTCCCCATGACTAGCTCACTACATCCAGACTGACACCAGAGCTGGAAGAGTTTCTACCCGTGTCAAATAGGCGGAGGTGACAGGGCTGGCCCCTGCTAGCCAAAGCTGGTGGGTTAGGGTACACAGGATAGAAATCAGCCTATCTCAAAGACCTTGGCAAATCCCTGGGCTGAGTCTGCGGATGTTAGAAGGAGGGTAAAGATATATGCACTGTGACCTCCTCTCAGGCTGAAGCATCCCTAGGGACCAGTGAGAGGCTCATGCTCATACACATCTGCCAAAACCCAACATCCTACGGTCCCCAGCAGGACCTCCTCTACTGCCTATGTTCCCAATCTGCCCTCCAGGGCCAGTGGCCAGCCCTTTCCTGGTCAGGGACTGAGTGAAATGGTACCTTAACAGGCTCAGCAAGCTCATGGGGCATGCAGATCTGAGGGGGGGCCTGAAATGAAAGAACAGGGCCACTCAGTCCAAGGGCCCATCTGGACCCTACAGCACTACATCTGCTGAGACCACTTCCTGCAGCCTAGGGAGGAGAGGCTCCAGATCTGGAAGGAAGAGAGAGGTGGCCTGCAGAAGGAAGAGGCGTAGGCCCTCCAAGTCCCCAACAGCGGCTGCCACATAACCAAAGGCTCTACCACACCGTGTCTGTGGCAGGGCTCTCAGCGGTGCAGCGCTGCAGCCAGGTAGCCTCGGCTGCGGGCGCCCCTACCTACTGCGTGCCTTTGTGCCACCACACTGGGAGCTGGGGGCTCCTGGGATCCTAGCTGGTGGGTGGGCCTGTAAGCCAGGAGCAGTACACAGGCCTTCCTTGGAATCTGCCCCACCCATCCGGATGAGCTGCTGGGTTGGAACTTCTCCAGGCCTCCCCACCCATCTTCAAACCCAAAATGTTAAACAATTCAACAGCCCGGGAAGGCCCATACATACCCCAACACAGACGCTGGTACCCGCAGGATCAGGGTACTAGACGATCAAGTTCTGACCCTTCCACCTAGCAAGAACCCGGCTCGTCACTCCCACCCCTTCTGACCTTCTGTGGCCACCCTTCCAAGGGTGCCAGGATCCACTCAGCCAGGAAGACGGCGGGAGTCCCTGGAGAGGGTAGGTTCCGGTCTGCCCAAGAAAAAGTGAGCCAAGGCAAGGGGCGGGCCAATGGGGGGTGGTGTTGAAGAGGGGAACAGGACAATGAAGAGGCGGGGCTGAGCTTGAGGGCGCGGCCTCGCCCCCGCCTCACGCTGGGGCAAGCCGAAGCGCTCCGAAGCTGACACTGGCCTGTTGGGCAGAGCTCGCGAATGGCACGCAAACACCACGCGATGGACCGCGAGAGCTGAGAACCAGGAGCCAGCTGGTTCGGCCGGCTCCACGTAGGCCAGCCTAGCCAGGGAGAAGCATGCCAGGCCAGACTAGGGGCTCAGAATGGTGGCCACAGAAGGCCGAGGACGGCGGGCACATGTATACTCAAGAGACCGGCGGCTACAAAACTAGGCCAAGTTTATTGCTGAGAATAGGCAGGAGAGTCACCTTCGGGGATTAAGGCCACGGGCGGTCTTTGTGCTTCACCGGGACGTGGGGTTTGAAAGTAGGAGTTCCCCCCTCCACCCCGTACGCACACACCCCACATTGTGCAAAATGTGCAGCTGCGGCCTCAAAGGCCAAGGCTAGGTTCCCCCCCTCAGCCGGCGAGGGGCGGGACTTCCTGGTGATGCCATCTACCAATCCCTGAGCTGGAGGGCGGGCCCCGCCCACCCCCTGGTGCAGCAGTCTCCTGGGTAGGGCATCGTTCTCGGGCGGTGTCTGGGCACCTAGACAGCAGGTTCAGCGAGCCTCGCCCGTATTGTACTCGGTCTCCCCAGAGGACACTTGGGAGATGCGTCGGGAGGAGCGCCACAGCTTCCGCGCGAACTGGCTGCTGCGCACCTAGAGGGACGTGATGGGACAGGATGAGGCGAGCCCGGGCGGCGGCTCCCCACCCGATTCAATTCAGTGCTCTCGTCCTCACCTCAGAAGGCTGCCCAGCGCCCACTACGATCAGTTTGCCATCCTCCAGGCCCACCAGCACGTGGCTGCGCTCCTTGGTCACGGCCACACTGCGGACTGGCACTTTCATGGGCAGGGGAGGCACAGCAGGCCGCAGTCTAGAGCAGGGAAGTGGGTGTATGCGAAGTCATAACTACAAGGAAGCCTTCGCCCCGCCAGCAGATGTCTTCTCCTTATCCCATGTATCTACTTCGTCTTCATTTTAAGGCTGGCTAAACTGAACCTCTGGTTTATAGGGCCCCCATAACCGTGCAGCTGAGGGGGTTCCAGGGCAAGAATCCCCATGGGTGACACACCTACGACACGGTACCGGGCAGAGGGCGCTTATTTCTCTGCCAACAACTACGGCCGAGAGGGGCCAGAGTGGAGCTCACTTGTGCAGGTGGAGGATGTGCAGAGAGCACTGCGCTGTGCCCAGCAGAACGAAGTCTTCTGCCACGGTCAGGGCCGTGGGCTGCTCTGTCAGGGGCAGTGACGCCCGCAGCCTCCCATTCACTGAGTACAGGTGCAAGGAGTAGGTGACCTGGAAGAATTAGGAGCATCAGCAGCCGCCCCCGCATTCCAACTGCCCGATGCCTTTGTCAGGTACCCTCTCCCCATACATACCTGAGCCCCAGGACGTTCACAAGCAGAGCTCTGTACAACAACCTGGCCTTCAGACCCCAGGGCCAGGTGTGATACGGGTCCAAGCAGTGTGGCACCTGGAGGCCTCAATGCTGCCACAAACTGGCCTCGGCGGACAGTATGTATGATCACAGTTCCGTCCTACGGAGAGGAAGATGAGGGCGCTGAGCCACGGACTGCGGGATCGGGAGACAGTGCCTCAGCAAACTCAGCCTCCCCAGGGCATGCCCACACACACCTCAGATCCAGACACAGCCATGTCAAGTTCGGTGCTGATGGCCACACAGCTCACTGCAGCCTCGTGTCCGTATAAGACCTGCACGGGCTTTGGTGCCAGCCCTGCCGACAGCCCGCCCTGTGGGAAGCCAGGGCTAGCCTGAGACTCAGGCAAGTGAAGACTTTATCCAAGCCCCAGACTTGCTCACAGTAGTAAGGGGAGAGGGAGGACAGGAGGGCAGCCCTGAAGGCTCCCTGCGAGGCAGGTGGCCTTCTGGTCTGGGGTACAGGGCTCTCACAGGTCTGCCCGGCATACACACTTGCTGCAGGAGACGCCACACCATGCACGTGGTGTCCCGGGAGCCCGAGATGAGGTAGATGCCACAGGTGTCCAGTGCAAGGCAGGTCACTACATCTGCACAGGAAGGGGGTACAACAGTGCTGCTGGGCCCTCCCAGGCCCAACTGGGAGCCCCATTCCACATCTGCCCGGCACCAGGGCCGCTCATACCAAGATGTCGGCTTAGCTGGTTCAGCAGCTTCCCACGGGGCAGTGTGGTTACTCGTAGGCTGCCATCCCAATGCCCACCACTGAAGAGCAGCTTTCCGTCGGGAGCTACTGCCAGTGCTTGCCCGCTCGTGCCTGGCACCCATGGCCCACTCAGCAGTTTCTGCATCCTAAACCAATGGGAAGATGGTTGGTGAGGCTGGGCCCCCGGAGAGAGATCTAGGTGAACGGGAGTCTCCGCCAGACCTCTGCCCTGCAGCCGGCCTGCGCTCTGTCTAAATGGGGAGGTGGTTCAGAGCATAGGGCATTTATAGCCCACCCTTGCCACCACCCTGCCTTACTTGGGGTTCCCCATGGTGGGATCTTTGCTGAAGCTGAAGTAGTTATTGATGTTTCGGTCATAGGGCAACCAGCTATGAGTGCCCAGCAGTCCATTGGCACTCACAGTCACCTGTGGGGAAGAGTGTGCTAAGGCGGTTTGGGAGCAAAGGCGGAAGGGATGAAAGCTAATGGACACCCTGCCCACGGCACTCACCAACATGTCTGAGGAGCCCTGGGTGATGAAGGAGTGGGATTGCCGGTGGGGTACCAGAGCTAAAACCAGAGGTACACCTTCACTGACAACCTGTAGAAAAACGTGAAAGGCTGGCTGTCAAGCGGCAGCAGCAGCCCCGACTAGACAGTCTTGTCAATGGGTACCCTCCTTCTTTGTCCTTGACCCCAGGGACAAAGGTGTCGTACAGAAAGCTGAGTCCTGGAAATAGACATGACAGCAGTGGGCACGTGGGAGGCCGCCACAGAAAGAGAGGGAAGCTGGGGTAGACATGGAAAACCCCAGATCAACCTTGAGCTCAGCCTTGTCCTCTCATCCCAAGACTCCTTGGCCTCAGCCCAGTGTCAGGAGGAAAGGGAACCTACATGAAGATGCAGGAAGGGCCCAAGGGCAGATTCCCTCCAATGTGACCTTACTCAGGTTCCCAAAGATTGTTCAGGAAGCCATAGCTTGTTTGGGCCCTCCTCAAGAGAGGGCTCCATCCTTTTACCCTCATGTCTCCAAGACGTCTTCAAATCAAATCGTGTTCCCACCTGCTCGCAGAGGTGGCGCGCTACGCCCATCTCACAGAAGAAGCTAAGCCCCTGCCCGCCTCTCACCTCAGCAAAAAAGGCCTTGAGCTGGTCCAGGTTCTGGAAGACGCTGGGTGAATTAGTGTCCAGACGAGCAAGGCGATTGGCTGCTTCCTCAGCTGAGAGCCGGGGCGGATGTGGCTCCTGTAGCAAGAGCTAGTCAGCACCATGACTGGAGTGTCCTTGACCGCTGTACAGGACGCAGCTCTTACCTTCAGCAGCTGGCAAGGAGTCTGCCCGAAGTTGCTGATGATGCCTTCCAGAGCCTTCCGTTCCCGTTCATCTGCCACATGGTCCAGGTCCACGGCCCCTGCGAGGGAGGCAAAGAGTCAAAACTCCTTCAATGTCCCCTGCATTGCCGCCTTGTCTGTGCCCTGGCCCCTCCTGATGCACAGCACAGTGTCTACCTTCATAGGTGCAGTAATAGAAGACATTGAGGGCCTCCTCGGCCGCCGGACCCCGCTGCTTATAGCCGAAGATGAGGTCGATCCACTCATGCAGGTGCGTGGACACATACTCCGACTCCTGAGGGCACAAAGTGTCGGTCAGCCCAGGGCCTGACTCCCACAACTCTCAGCATTGGCTGCCTGGCTGTGTGGTCTCCTCACCAGAGCCCGGCGGTGCTGCTGGATGAAGTCCTCCGGGCAGCTGGCCCATGGGGGCAGCACCACATCGCCCACCTTCTCGTTGGTCAGCTGAAGGCAGCCCAGGTCGAAGCCTAGCAGAGGAGAAGGTTGGCAGCGTGCCTGTATATTCTTCCCCACCGCCGGCCACGCCATGCCCAAGCCCCCACTCCCACAGCTGGCGCCTTGAGTGCTACCATTCTGGTTCTCCAGGAAGTCAGGAAAGTAGAAGAACTCTGGGATGAGCTCCTTCACATCGGCAGGGCTCTCCAGGCGTGCCTGCCAGGCTGCTGCCACTGAGTGGAACTGCCGGTCAGAGCAGTCGAAGCTGGTGGAGAGACACAGCCAGGGTCAGATAGATACAAAGGGATGCATAAAGCCAAAGGCAGTGTAAGAAGCTGCCAGGAAGACTGTGTCCCCTCCTCCCCCTCATCCCTCACCCCTGGGCGCACCGGCCACTCTGTAGCTGGACGTGCAGGGATGTGAAGGGTTCCACTCGGATGAGGTAGTGCATCACGCCTGCTGCGTTGGAATAGTGGGTACCATAGTGGAACTTGTCGATTGTGCCTGCCGGGTCCTCGAAGCTCTCATATCTGAAGCCACAGGCAAAGGAAGTCAGAGGAAGCCCTACGCCCACCCATCCCTAGCCCACTGAGCCCTGCCCTGCCCACACGCTCACTTCTCTCTCACGAGCTGGGCGTGCTTGGGGTTCACCACACCGATGGGTTTGGACAGGTCCCGGAAGACAGCTGGGTTGCTGAGGTCCAAGACTGGGGACACGTAGTCCTGCAAGACCCAGGGGAACTGGCCCCCCACCCAGGAAAGGAGCTGCATGACGACACTGATGGCCTGCCAGCCTACCCCGCCCTGCCCTCAGCACTCAGGAAGATGGGGAGAGCCTGCTCAAAATCCCACTTGGAAGGGTTGCAAGAGCACAGATGGGCTACGACAGACACTCCTGTTTACAATACACAGACCAGGGTACAACAGGAAGAGAAGCGGGCAGGGGAGCGAGGCAGGGGCGGGGAACAGACACCAGATCTTAGACAAGTAAACTGTTCAGGGCCCGAGCTTGGGCCTGGCCCAGCAGCTCTCACTGACAGAGGGGGGGCAGTGGGGCATATGTATGCCGAGTGGGGCCCTCACCACGGGGTACTGAGACAGGTCATTATAGGTGCGTCCTGCGATTGTGTTGAGTTGCATCAGGTATTCAAAGTTGGATATCTCTCGCTGTACCCATTTCTGGAGGGCAGAACGGCAAAGGCTGAGCAG